CTCGCGCGCTCCTGTGCTCGATCCGGAGAGAAATACTTTGTGCCCCGCTTCCAACTCAAACGTATCGGTGTTCATCCGCCGGGTGTCTTGCAGGACAGTGACATCGATCAAATTCGTCTCCATGTGCATGCAACTGCGTTGTATTCGCGTCTGTTAAACACACGACGTTCCAAGAGCATACGTGGATGATCTCGCCGTCGCCTGGGGACGCTGGAGAAAATGAAGAAACGTGCATTGAATTACCCATGGGCCGCCGTGCTTCTTAGTTGGGGGCGGCCTTGCCCTTCTTGTCCCCCTTCCCCTCGTGCGTCTTCGCGCGGTGGAGCTCTTCCTGGGCGGTGGCCTTCAGTGGGCTCAGCTCTACTGACGACTGCAAAACCTCCCACTGCTCCCGCCCCCCGTCGCACCACGAAAGCTTGAGGGTGTAATTCTCCGCCTGTCTTGACGACCGGCGCCCCCGCCACCTTGAGCGCGTGGGTCGCCGTATCCACCTCCACCTCCTTCCTCCCATACCCCCAGTCAGCCAACATCTCTTCCATCGCAAAAAGGGCCGACTCGGCTGTCCGATGTCCGAGGGGGAGGTCGACTTTTGCCCGCGTTTTGCCCGATGAATTCGTCGTAGCCTGCCGGATCATCGCGATAATGGTGTCCCAATGTGCAGGTGAAGAACAGTTAGCGAAAATGATGTTGTTGTACACGTCCGCCTTGCAGAACACCTCGAAAGGATCCGGAATCCTCGTTTCCTCGAGCTGGGTAGCGCCAGGGATGTTGCCGATGACGATCGTGAGGTTGCCGTTGCCGCTGTGGTAAGGTGGCGTGGTATTGCCCGACATCATGCTCTGCATCTGTTCCTTCAGCTTCGTGACCTGTGCCTCGAGTGTGTCGCTCTTGGTGTCGATGCTGGTGAGGCGCGTCCCCATGTTATTAAGCGCCTCCTGCACCTTGGTATTGAAAATAACGAGGTCGGTGAACAGTTGTGTCGACGGAAAGCCTGACGGGACTGATCTCCTCCTCTAGCATTCTCCGGATTGCGTTCAATGTCAGATTCTCCTCCGTCTTCTGCTCCTTCTTCTGATCCTCAAACATTTCACCAAGATCGTCTTTGCTCTTCTTCGAAGGTGGGGACTGGCCGGGCGTGTGCATCGCAGCTACGGGGTGAAATTTCTACAGACCCAAACTTTTGCTTGAGCCAGGACTTGAACCAAAATGGCTACGGGTTGAGAACCCCCAGTGACCCCCCCCGGTTTCCCGCCAGCAGCTGTAGAACACGCTCTTTCACACCTTGCCAGACGTTGTTTTTTTTCCTGGTTTCCTGGTTTCGAAACTCAGGAAACCTGGCCTAGCGTTTCTTGTTCCTTCTTCTTATTCTGGTCTTGGGGCTCACGAAACCTTGCCAGGCATTGGTTGTTGTGGTTTTACTGGTCTGGCGGCAGTGAGTTGCAAGCCCCCAGCCCCCAGGCTAGGTTGCGCGAGCCCCAAAACCAGAAAAACAATAAAAAACAACGCCACGCCAGGCTTCGCAAGAAGAGCCCGAGAAACCAACGCGTGGCCAAATTTCTTGTGCTCCAAAACACGAAGCAAATATGAACGCAATCGCCTGGCAAGGTTTCGTTAGCCCCCCAAACCCAAAAAAACAGAGCAACCAACCCCTGGCCAGGTTCTGTGAGTCCCCCAGACAAAAAAAACGAACGCCTGGCCAGGTCTCGTGAGCTCCAAGATTTTTTATATATAAAAAAGCAGAAACACCAACGCCTGGCAAGGTTTCCTGAGCCCCCAAACCAGAAACAACAACAAGGGGTGGGACAAGAAAGCCTGGCCAGGTTTCCGGAGCTCGAAAACCAAGCAAACCAGACAACACAACAATGCCTGGCAAGGTTTTGTGGGCCCCCATACCCAGAGGAAAAAAACACCTCTACCTGTCCAGGTATCGTGAGCCACCAGATTAGAGAAACAAGCATATACATTAACATTCATGCTCCACACACGTTTGTTATACTGTGCTCCACTCCCCTCTGCGCCGCCATGATATCATCTGTCTTGTCTGTCTTCTATCCTACTCATCTCCAACAGCTACTAATTTCTACTCTGTCCTACTCTACTCAACGTGGTCTCCCTCTCAACTCGGTCTCCAAGCTCTCCACTCTTCCCCTGCTCTGCCCCTGCTGGACTCTCGGCGCTCTACCCTTTTTACCCTACTATCTGATATAACCCCCAACATACCATGCTTAGTGTTGCCGTCTCAACTCTCTACTCTCCGCTCTCTACACTGCACTCTCTACTCCCTGCTATGCTCTATTCTCTACTTTCGGGGCAACTGGACTTTCTACTCTACCCTGCTCTACTGTAGTATCTACTGTAGTGTAGGGTATAGGATGGGTAGAGCAGAAAGTAGTGTGCGGAGAGGAGAGTATCACAGAGAGTGCAGTAGGGAGAGAGTATACGATCTGAGTAGATAATAAAGTGCTACTGCGCAGTCGTTGAACATATGATACAGCGGAGTAGAGAACATTAGAGTCTATACGTAAATGGTAAAAGTAGACAGCAGAAAATGATATATATATATATATATATAGAGTCCACGTGCGGGGAACCACCATCATATCAGAATTCCACTGGAATGGATCAGACTCCATATTCATACGACATCAAGAAATTTGAATAGAGTTCACGTAAGTTTTCAATGGGAATGGACCATACCCAAAATTCAGATGATCTCAGTGATTTTGAACAGGGTCCACACAATACGTCAACGGTAATGGAGCACACCCCATAGTCAGATGATTCAACTTAGATTTAAATTTGATTCGAATAGAAATTCAATTCGAATTGACATTTTTCCAGAGGGTTCCAATGGCATTTGGGTAAGGATTGAATGAGAATCCGCCAGGAATTGAACAGACCCTAGACTCAGAGGATTTTGATTTGAATCAGAATCGAATCGGGAATAGGAGAAGAATGAGAAGCAGACTAGAACAGCGCACGGAAAAGTTGAATATTGGGAAGGGGTGTGAAAACACACGCATATATACACACATATAAATATACAAGACTGCAGTGGCGCTTCACGCCATGCACCTTGGTCCTTGAAGTTTGGTATGCAGGCGGAATAGCAGGAAGGTCAAGCCGACAGTTTAGAGATAACTCCTTGTTGCCTTTTCCGGCATCGCCTCTATAATAATGTTATTCGGTATCCTTCCTCCATGCTTATATTTCTTCATTTTCGCCGTACCCTGCGCATTCTCCCCATCCTCCTCAGCTCTTTTTTGCGGAGGCTCCTGGAGAGCCTCTGGGGGCCTCATAAAAGTTTTTTTCATGCTTTTTTAAGGCCTTCTGGAGGCCTCCTGGGCGTATTCTGGGGGCCTCTGGGGACTTCCTCGGGCCACCCTGCCTCCAACCGCGGTCTCCCTGAACGACCGGGTCACGATTTGGAATGCTTCGGAGGGTGTCTTGGGACCATCTTGGGCCGCCATGGGGCTCTCTGAGGGCCATCTTGGACCCGTGTTGTGCCGTTTTGGGGCTCTCTTGGACTGCCTGGAAGCCCTTTCGGATGGTTGTGGGGCGATGTTAGAGCCTCCCAGGCGGCTTCGGACGCCCAGAAGACCGCCGTCCTGGAGCGTCGGGAAGCCGGAAAAAGGAGAACCCCAAGATTCAGCAAAAACCAAAAGAAAATCAAAGATGTGTGCCTCTTGGGGCCTTCTTGAGAGTGCTCTAAGAGGCCTCTTTGGGGCCGTCCTGGAGGCCTTTTGGGCCATCTTGAGGTCACGTCGGCCACTCTTGGAGCGCTCTTGTGCTGTCTTGGGGGTCTCTGGGACGTCTCCGATGACCCCCCTGATCGCCCTAGGTGTGCTGGGAAGGCTTGGCAAAACGCCCTGCGACCGCCATCCAATCTGAACGTCGACAACAATGCCCCTTGCATGACGCCCTATCGCCAAACACGCGATTCTGGAGATTCCGGGATTTCCAGAACTCAGTTAACTGAGTTCTGGAAATGCAGACGCCCTCCGCAAATTGCAGAATCACAAAATTTTGTGATTCTGCAATTTGCGAAGCGCCGTGTCGGAATTTTCCCACGGTTTGTCCTGAAACACTACTATTTCTACATTCTGGAATTTCCAGAACTACGTTTTTGGCGATATGGAAATTCGGGAATCACGCTTTTCGCGATTCGGAATTTCCAAGAATGGCGTGCTTGGTGATCGGGCGTGCGGGAACAGGAGTTTGTGCTGCTGTTCATGTAGAGCTGCAGTCGTTCGGACAAGTTGGAAGCAGGTGTTCTGACGTTGTTTGAGGCGGTCGGCGCAAAAACGACCGCTGTTGAAGCCAGGATGCAATGCACTTGCGGCTAGGTTGTCGCACGTAGGTAGCATCACCTTTCTCAGCATTGGCACCACACCCCTTCATACAGTCAACCCGAATATTAAGGATGGGCAACCTCCCCAAGGGTATTGATGTATCCTTGCCCTCTCGGTCCATCCTTCACCACTTTTGTGGGCCGCGCTCCGCTCGAAAAGCCTCGAAATGGGCGTCCAAGGCCCCTGCGCCCTTCTCGCGCATCCTTATGATACGGGCCGACTGTACCACACTCCTTTCCAACCTCCAGTGAGGTCCGCCGGTCCTGGAGGATGTGCACTAATTAGACGCATGCGACAAGACGTCATGCCAGAAGAAATCTGGGGGCACGTTCGTCGTCGATGCGTGGGGTTCCGGGGGAACCCCAAGCCTTCTGCGGGCCCCCCGGGGGCCACTGGGGGACAGAGGCACTTTCGCAGGGCACCCTCTGGCCAGGAAGGGTGCCCCGACCTCTGGGGAGCCACGCTGCGAACAGAACCACGAAGACGGCTGTCTGGGCCGGGCGTTGCGGAAGGGGGGCGACACATGGACACGACGTGCATCTCTCGTGCCCCTGAAGGGGCCCCCGGGGGGGCCCCATTCAGGGCCCCCTGAAGGTGCACCTGTCTTTCTGTCTTTGCCCTCCCCGAGTGTCGCCCCCCAGTGCGCAGCGCCCGGCTTTCGTGCGGCACCTGCCGGCCGGGAACGGGGCCCGGACCTCTGGGGAGCCACGCGGCGAGCAGAACCGCGACGCCAGCCATCCGGGCGCGCGTGCGGGGCGCCCGGCCAGCCAGGCTCAGGCGGCGGACACCACCTTGGCGCGCTCCTTCAGCCACTTGAGGGCCGCCTCTCGCTCGTGGCGTCGCGGCCAAGACGACGACGACGACGACGACGACGACGACGACGACGACGACGACGACGACGACGACGACGACGACGACGACCACGACCACGACCACGACCACGACCACGACCACGACCACGACAACGCCGACGACGCCGACGACGACGACGACGACGACGGAGGCTGCCTCTCGCTCGTGGCGTCGCAGGGCCTTCCGGTGCTCCTCCTGGAACTCGCGGGCGGGGTCGGACCCGACCTCGGCCAGCTGCTCGTTGGGCTTCGGGGTGCCCAGCGCGTGCCAGGTGTTCGCGTTGACCCTGTCGTGGTTGATCAGCGAGAGCAGCCCTTCCCTCTCGAGAAGCGCATGGTACACCGCTGCCAGCACCTCCGCCTTCTCCAGCGCGGCCCCGTCCACGGTCTTGCCCTCCATGCCCTTCTTCTGGCTGTCGAGGCCGGCCCACTCACACTTCACCTCGGCGATCTTGAGCAGCCCCTCCTCCAGCTGGGCCTCGACGCTCTCTTGTTCCTGCTGCTGGGCAGCCATCCTTATCTCTTTTGCGATCTCCTCGCGCAAGTCGTCGATCGTGAATGTCTCTGCCTGGCCCTGCTCTTCCCACGGTATCCCATCCTCCGTGGCGGCTAGGGTCATCTGCTCGGCGCGCTTGACCGCCTTCGCGAAGTCGTCGTCCAGCTCCGGGAGGTCCTGCTCCTCGATCTGCTGACACGCGACGGCGCAGATGA